AGTATTTTGGCGGAAATTTCTTTCACTATATGAGTCAAAGCAGTGTTTGTGGAAGACTACGTTACCGATATTGCAGTTTTGAATTAAAAAAAAAACAATGTTTAACAAAATGGTAGAAAAATTATGAAATTTCGGCTCTAATCATTTCGATATTTCCTCGACCTCATTTGTAAAGAAATAAATACTGTACCAGCATGCTGGCAAGTTATATGCTTCGGGCCTGATGGTACAATCACTTGATGGAGCCAGCAACCTGGTGTCGTATATTTCTGCTTTTATACAAAAAGGTTTTTAGTTGGATAAAACATTTGCTATTTTTTTTAGAGTTCATTGTTTTCCATACCATTACTCATTGAAAATATTTGCGCGTATACTTACATGTGTATATTTAAGTAAAAAATTTTAGCTACCATTTTTAGCCACAACGCCTTATTTTACCTCTTTTTTAGTCTTTTTTTAAAGGAATTTGGCTACCACTAAAAATGATTCGCGGCAACACTGAATGGACAGGTTAAAATTAATATCTGGCTGTTTGCATAGGGTATGGGAAAGCGAAGATGGCCAGTGCTACCGCAACCTAATAGTAGTTGCAAGGGTAAGAATTCCGGATGTACTCAAGCAATTCCATAATGGTCCTAGTGGAGGGCACTGGGGAATCACGAAAACCCTGGAGAAGATCAAGCAGAGGTTCTATTGGGTTGGTTGCCGGCAATAGGTAGATTGCTAACTGCGCAGAGTGTATTGCAGCTAAAGGGCCGAAATCCAGAAGTCAGGGCCAGATGAAGCAGTATAACTCAGGTGCACCATTCCAGCGGATTGCCATAGATGTAGCCGGTCCATTTCCTATGAGCGCACAGGGAAACAAATACGTCCTTGTGGTTATGGACTACTTTAGCAAATGGCCGGAGGTATACCCGATTCTAAACCAGGAAGCTAAAACAGTAGCGGAGGTATTCACCTACAATTGCGTTGCGAGATACGGTGTACCTATAGATCTGCACTCTGACTAGGGAAGAAATTTTGAATCGGCGGTGTTTCAAGAGATGTGCCAGATACTGGGTATCCGGAAAACTCGAACAACGTCTCTTCATCCCCAATCAGATGGCATGGTGGAACGGTTCAACCGAACCCTGGAAGAGCATTTGCGGAAGGTCGTGGACAAGAATCAGAAAGATTGGGATGCCCGCATACCCATGTTCCTGATGGGATACCCCACAGCAGTGCATGAAACAACGGGTAAAACTCTTGCAAGGGCAATCTTCGTCAGTGAGCTCTGTTTGCATAGTGACCTGAAGTTTGTAGTAACTGGCGATGCAAGGAGGATTGGGAAAGAGACGTCGAACATCCTGGAAGAGGAGTTGAGAGAAAGACATGCTCTTGTGAGACAGCGAACTCAAATTATGAGTGACAATATGAAGGCCAGGTATTATAAGGCAATGAACTCCGAGGGAGACTTAGTGTTGCTGTACAATCCACAACGTAAGAAAGGTTTATCCCCAAAACTATAATGCAACTGGGAAGGTCCGAATAAGGTCGTCAAACGGCTGAATGACGTAGAGTATCGAATCCAGACCGTTGGGAGACCAAGAAACAAGATGAAGGTGGTCCACTTGGAAAGGCTTGCAGCGTTTGGAACAGCAAGTGTGTCTGATCGAGACGAGGTGGAGGGCAGTGTGGCGAATACTGCGGCAACACAAAGCGAAAAACGAGAAATAAGCAGAATGTTCGAGGAATAACGTAGAATGTTCCACAATGAAAAAACGTCAAGTGGATGAACACTGCGAACAGCGAGAGAAAGAGAATGAGCGATGAACTTCAGAACATTCTAGAGTTGCCATGAGTGCGAGCGCAGGTATATAAGGGCGCCACCAGACACCGGAGTGAGTTAGTTACAAGTCAGCAAGCTACAATTAAAGTGAGTTGCGAATAAGCAAGCTATAAGTTTAATTGTGTTAGCAAGTTTAGTAAAGCGTTGTTATTGCTTTAACAAGTATTGTGAAGTGTTTTTACGGTATTAGCGAGTATTGTAAATAGTTAGTTGTACAATAAAGTTAATTATACTGCAATTTGGTCATCGTGAGCATTTATTTAACAATCCAGCGATACGAGCCGTAGTATATTTGGGAAATCCCTCATGGTTTCGAGGATAATCGTAACAATATTCTTGCTTGTGAGCCACCCCTAAATAATGCTGAGCGCTCTCTGAGCACTTGTGTGTTTCACCTACGAAGAGCGCCAGCTGAGCAATGCACACAGTCCCACTTAGGTCGGTGTTATGCAGACAAACTTTTGTTTGCCAAATTAAATGGCGGCTGCTTAGTTTGCTCGGAGGTGGTTATGTCGAGTTTGGCACAGGGTTGCACGTTCATTATGGTTTTCATGGCTATTGCCAACACGAAATGAGAATTTCAGATGTACATAACGCGCACAATTTAAAATTTTTGTATATGACAACACCGAATTTGCTGCAGTTTGACCAAACAAAATTAGTTTGCTGTGAGAGTCGCCAAACTCGCTCTCTCCGAGTTTGCTGCAACAACAATTGCACGCAGTTTGCCAAACAAAATTTCTGCATAACACCAACCTTATAGAATCGTTTGAGTGCACGATTGAGAGAATACAAAGGTTGCGCCGATCTCGCACCGCTATTCCTCTCGTAACGAATTTGGCAGAATCGTTGTTTGCATGACGTCACACTTGTGCAACTTGTTTACGTTTTCCTTGCAACATTCTTTCTTCTTCTTCCACTCGTGCTCACGTTTTGGCATTTCTCTCTGGCAATTGCACCAGTGTGACGTCACACAAAAGTTATTCTCAAAAATCCTCTCTGACCGGCGCAAACTTGTATTCTATCATTCTTGGTTTNTCTTGCTCACGTTTTGGCATTTCTCTCTCGCAATTGCACCAGTGTGACGTCACACAAAAGTTATTCTCAAAAATCCTCTCTGACCGGCGCAAACTTGTATTCTATCATTCTTGGTTTGAATGCACTAGTATGCCGACCATTGAACGATTCAATGACTGAGACTGTTTGAGTGGAAATCATTGCTCCGCTACCGCTGGTCGTATATGGGTGAAACACGCGTGTGGTCACAGAGCGCTCAGTTAGCTATGGCATGGCGATCACTCCGCTAGGTAGAGAAAGAAAAGTGTGTGCTATGACATGCCCAGACATCTTTGTCTCAGTTTCAGTTTTGCTATCGCCGCGAGTTGTTTCGGTGCGCGTATAGTTATTTAAAAATATAAAGTTTGATGCCAACCGGGGTTTCTCAGTGGATATATAATTCATGTGAATTATAATTTGAAAGTATCTATTGAGCCAAGGAAAAAGCAAAGCAGTATACTTAAACCAGCACTTCCAGCAGATATTAACCTGAGTTTTCGCACGACTGTTCCTGTTTCATCGTTTCTTTTTAGGAAATTCTTACCACCATATACATATGTATTATTTACACTAGTAGCTATTTATGTAAATATGTATGTATTTTTTATGCTTAATATATGCAAATAAAAGAAGAAACTAAACACAACAACCATCCAGTAAATTTTTATTTGTGTCAAACTGAAACTTTTTCTAATAATAAACGGTTAGCTGATTCGCGTCTACAGCAAGTTCACAAAATTAGTTGAAAACAACAAAGATTTTATTCAACTAACAATATTGTCCACTGAAGGTAGTCGTTTTGTAATTATTAACAAATATACATTCGTCCCAACTAGAAGTCTCAAGTAAATTGCTGACTTTCGTGAACTAGATATTTATTTCGCCATATCCAACTATGCCACTTGGTCACTATAACCAAATCTTGGTAATTATTACTAAACCCTTTTCTGAGTGTAATATCTATAATAATATCTCATGGAACACTGCATATAATGCCAAATTTTGTTGCGGTAAGGTAATTTAAGGTATTTCACAACGCCTTTATCAACTTGCAATGTTGTATGTCCAGAACACCATATACTATAAATATAGCAAAGGTATTTGTGGCAAACCTAGTCTAGATATCAACCTCGTCGTAGGTATCATATCAAAGACATACAATTAGAAAAACTCTAGAGATAGATGTCGCCTCGCCAGAGGAAGTGTGGCAGCACTGCACGCCACCTAGGTGTCAAGTAAACAAAACATCAGCTGTAAACCTCGCGGTTTGGACGTTTTTGCCATGTTGTTTTTCCTGGCGTTCGATTCGTTGAAGTAGCAACCTACAAGTTTTTGTGAAATCAAATTAGATATTAGTTTTCCTTTTTGCTGTATTAAATAATAGTGAATAAAGTCATTCGTTAGACATAATAAACACTAAAGTGGTGACCTCGTTCACGGCAACAAAGGAATTTACGTAATTTGGTGTATTTGCTTGCTAGATTTGCTGTTGCAAAGTCTTACGTATAAATTGTTGCAACGAAATTCGGCGAACATTCGTGGAATCAATGACGCTTGCATTTTCTTCGAATCGCTTCGCATCCACGGCATGCCGAACGACCGTTACGACTTACGATATTCAAAAAAGTCAGATTCTAGCGAAGGGGATTTGTTTCACGACAGCGTAATGAGCGACGAGGTAAAATACCAACTGTAGACGGTGCAAAATAGCATCGAAGTTTTGCAAAATGATTCCAGTTAGTTCACGTGCAAGTTGGCAACGTATGCATGTTTCTAGCTTCAACAAACAAAATACGCAGCTATGGTTTGCTCAACTGGAGCGAGGATTTCGACTCAGTGATATCACATCAGATATCGATAAATTCGACTGGGTTACGATTCATCTGGAGCACGATATTTTGTTAACTGTTATAACACAGCCGCCCGCAGATAATCGCTACAATATTCTCAAAGGCAGGCTCCTGGCAAAATATTCTGAAACAGCGGAAAGTAAGCTGCGTCGCCTGCTGCAAGATGGAGACACTGCTGGAGTGAAGCCGTCTGAAATTTTATCGCACATGAAACGACTCCTGACCCGGGGAGTGCCGAAGTCATACGAACATTGTTTTTGGGACAAATGCCTAGTTCGGTTCGGCCTCTGTTGACTGTGTGGAAAGAGAATAACCTCGAGCATCTAGCGCAAATCGCTGACAAAATGTTGGAAACGGTTAATTCGAACTCCACCAACATGATAGCTACACACGGGGCTGAGTCGTATGCTCAAGCTCCCGCAGTTAATGCCATAGCTAACGAGAATACCCCATTAACAGAAATCGCTAGCACTCTCAAATCACTTGCCGTTGCTGTTAAACAACTTCAAAGTGATGTCAAAATTTTGAAACGAAATCCATCTCAACGATCATCATCCAAGGGTCGTTCTCCTAGCCGTAATACACCAAGTACTAGTGACCAAGCTGAAGCTGCTCATGTATGTTTTTTTCATTCAAAATTTGGCGACAAAGCACGTAAATTTCGACCGAATTGTACATACCAAAAGTCGTCAAACTAGAACAGCTGCTGCAAGTCACGCTGGGGGGCAGCAGCTCCATTACACCCAGCAGCCAATCAAACCAAAACGACAATTCTTTGCGGGAAACAAGACTACATATTTACGATCGCCTCAATCGTTTTCAGTTCCTCGTGGATTCGGGCTCACTGGTTTCTGTCATTCCACGTAACCTCGTCAAGACGGCAGTTAAATCAAAATCACTTCAACTCTATGCAGCTAATCAAACAGCAATTCAAACCTACGGAAACCATGTGTTACAACTGGAGCTGGGATTGCGACGAGCATTTAGTTGGCCGTTTATCATAGCCGACACACACACAGCTATAATCCGTGCTGATTTTTTGGCACGATGCAATTTATTGATTGACTTGAATCAACAGCAACTCATCGACAAAACCACTGGCCTCACTACAAGCGGCAAGTTGTCAGACACCAACGAGTTCGGCATTTCCACGATAAACGATGCCAACGATTTTAGAGGTCTACTGACACAATTTGTTGACATAACTAAAACAACACGTAAGTCTAACGAAGTAGAGAGTAGTCATTCTGTTATGTATTACATACAGACAAAAGGCGCTCCTATCGCCGACCGCGCTCGACGCCTAGCTGGTGGCAAACTTGTTTGTACCAAACGTGAAATAATTTTTCTCCTCGAACAAGGTATTTGTCGTCCTTCAAAAAGCCCGTGGGCTAGTCCACTACATATGGTGGAGAAAAAGACTGGCGGATGTCGCGCATGCGGCGTTGCTGATCGTTACCCGATTTCCCACATCCACGATTTTTCGGAAAACTGCATGGTAAACGAATCTTTTCTACAATCGATTTGGTCCGTGCATACTACCACGTCCCGATGGCTAAGCCCGACATCGAAAAGCTGCTGTATGTACACCATTCGGATGGTTTGAATTCGTTCGCATGCCGTTTGGTTTAAAGAACGCAACGCAGACTTTCCAGCGGTTCATGGACAGCATATTCAAAGATATCGACTTTGTTTGTATATACATAGACGACATTCTCGTCATGTCGAACTCGGCAAACGAACACCGAACATCTTCGTGAAGTGTTTTCAGTTCTGCAGCAACATGGCTTGACTATCAACGCCAACAAGTGTTACTTCGGCAAACTAGAGGTGGTATTTCTACGGCCGCCCACCGAACGCATAGAAGCTATCAAAACTTTTAACGAACTCAGTCGGTTCCTTGGTTTTATTACCGAAGATGCATTCNGCATAGAAGCTATCAAAACTTTTAAGCCACCAGACACAGTCTGCGAACTCAGTCGGTTCCTTGGTTTTATAAATTATTACCGAAGATGCATTCCTCATGCTTCGGAACTACAATCTCGGCTGAATGAATACACGCGCGGCATGCGAAAAAACGACAGACGCAAAGTAAACTGGTCCTCCGAGACACTTAAGGTATTTGAGGATTGCAAACGCAGCTTAGCTAATGCTAAAATGCTTGCACACCCGGCCCCTGAAGCCAAGTTAGCATTGGTGTGTGACGCGTCCGACGCAGCAATCGGCGCAGCATTAGAGCAATTTTACAACGACACATGGCAGCCCTTGGGGTTTTACTCACGAAAACTAAACAACGCTGAGAAGAACTACAGCACATATGATCGTGAGCTGTTAGCTATCTACGATTCTATACGCTATTTCAAACACATGTTGGAGGCTCGTGTTTTCGTCATCAAAACAGACCATAAGCCACTCATACACGCTTTTTCCCAGAAGCCAGAGAAAGCATCTCCGCGCCAGTTGCGGCATTTAGATTTTATCTCGCAATTCTCCACCGCGATTATGCACATAGCTGGAAACACCAACACCGTGGCAGACGCTCTGTCACGTATTAACGCCATATCGATGCCCTCCAGCGTAAACTCTGCAACATTCGCTGAAGCTCAATCAAAGGACAGCGAGTTACCTACACTTCTGCACGGAAGTACATCACTCAAGCTGCAAGTAATACATCTCGAGGACAAAAGCATTTACTGCGATGTATCTACTGGATATGTGCGTCCGTATATACCCGAAGAGCTTCGATACCAAGTATTTGCATCGGCACACACTTTGTCACATCCCAGTGGTAGAGCTACACTACAACAACTACGATAAAAGTATATTTGGCCTTCGATGCGTAAAGACGTCACGCTTTGGGCGAGATCCTGTTTGCCTTGCCAACGGGCCAAAATACATCGGCACAACTCTTTCGTTCCAGAGAGAATCGACATGCCAGATAATTGATTCGATCATGTCCATCTAGATATTGTGGTCATTAGTGCGGATCGGTCCCCATGCAAAAAAAAAAGTTTTTCCAGTCCACCCCTAGGATTAAAGATATGTTGAAGGCGATCCCAAAAAAATTTTATTTTTTTTTTACCACGCCCCCCCGATGGGCTATTTACTTTTTTTGACACTACGTCGCCATTTTAAGTCCGATTTTAATGAGCCGTACACCGTTGTTCATGGCTTGGAAGCCGCCACAATTCTTACCTTAATCATTTTTTACTCCGAGTTCAAGTTCTAGTAGTGACTGTCGGTATCTCGTTTCACATCATACCTAAATTCCAATTTTTTTTAGTCTGTCGAAAAGGCCTTTAAATTCTGTGAAACTTTTTCTTTAACAGTAACTACTTTTGTTCATAACTAAAAAGTTATAAAGGTTTCAAAAATCCAAATATAACCCTGTGTTAAATTTGGCAATTATGCCAATTTTTTTTTTACTAGAATTGGCAATACTGGTTACTATTACTTTTAATTAAATGTTTTTTGTTTATGCTTACTCAAAANTTCACATGTGCTTGTGAGGACAGATGCTGTTCGGCAACCGTTGGAACCACCGTACACTGGCCCCTACGAGGTCATTGCTCGTACAACAGATAGAGTGTTTACTATAAAAATTAAAAACAAAGATGTAGCAATATCAACAGATAGATTGAAACCAGCTTTCGTCATTAGAGAAGATACGAATCCTGAACCGGAAAAGACTCCACGAACATACGAAAGGACACATCGTGTACGATTCCTCACTCAATCGTGACTTCGTCACTGAAGGGGAAGTCCTGTGGCAGCACTGCACGCCACCTAGGTGTTAAGTAAACAAAACATCAGCTGTCAACCTCGCGGTTTTGACGTTTTTGCCATGTTGTTTTTCCTGGCGTTCGATTCGTTAAAGTAGCAACCTACAAGTTTTTGTGAAATCAAATTAGATATTAGTTTTCCTTTTTGCTGTATTAAATAATAGTGTATAAAGTCATTCGTTAGACATTATAAACACTAAAGAAGTTAAAAATATGCACCAAATACGCTACAGCGGAAATGGACGCACGCCATTTCTTTAAATGAAATTAATTGCTGCTATATGTATGTATGTACATATGTAGGCATATACTAAATGTGAGCAAACAACATTTTGCTTGCATAGTCTTCTGTTCTCTTTTCACTGCAAGTTGAATTATTTTAGTATTTATTGCAAAATTTTATACAGACAAGACTAAAAAGTATAAAATAAATTCAAGGAAAAATGATAAAATAACACGAGTTCACTTCTGAAACTGCTTTTTAATGTCCAAGTAATGGCAATTATTGTGTATGGTGTTATTGCATGCATCCCACCCATAGTGGAATTTACCAGGTGCCACTGTTTTATTTGAAAATTTGCCTATAAAATGTGACTATAAGGCAGCCGAATGTCAGAAAATAAAGCGAGAAAGCCGTTTTATTACTTCATCTGTTTATTGCGACAGGGTTCCATGCAAACATTTTAAGGTTTTCCAGCAATGTTTTTACCATATTAAAAAGCATGCAGAAAAAATTCATACAAAAGCGCTATGTCCAATATGCGGAGCAGTTTTTAAAGACGATGCTTTTCCTATATTTTGTTAGACTTTTCATAAGTAAAAATATTTTGTGAATATTACTTTCTTCATATGAATTATATCACATTTTTTGTTTAATTCAAGGCCTATCAAACAGGTTTAGAGCATTTGAGCAAAAACAACATTTGCCTGTATTTTGTTGTTGCTTCTGGTATCGAAGGTGCCAAAAACTGTTCTGATTTTTTTCTTCTACATCAAAGCGTGCCATGCGAAATACGAAAAAGGTAAAAAATTTAAATTGAAAAAATGAAAATTGTTGCAACTTTCTTTCTTAGTAAATTGGATCGCTTCTCGAAGCATTGATCCATCCTGTGCCAGGCCCAGTAATCAGCGGTTGTGCTGCTGAGTTGGGCGAGCTTTCCAAAAGCTGCTATTTAATCGCAGGAAAATGTTTCACATGTAAGTAGATTTTAACAATTTAGAATTTTTGTGAGAAGAAATGTAAAATATTTGACATTTTCGAGAACAAATAATTTGAAAAAAAATCAAATCAGCTGCTATACTGATATTACCTGTTCAATGTGCCTTGGTTTAATTGTATTTTTGGAATAAACAAAGTTCTTTTTCCTTCTGTCAGTAAAGTGTTTTTATTTACAAATAGTATAAATAAGCAATGGGAAACAGGCAAAATTCATTCTATTATTTTTTAATGCATAAAAAATTAATTTAAAAAATAATAAAATAACAATAATTTGTTGAGGTGGCAGTGATACTCGAGCAATTTACGAAAAGTATAAACGTCATAAGCACAGTTTAGGTCAAAAAATTTCAAAGTGAAACTACCTTCTTTTTTTGTAGCAGGCGTACATTTAATTTAAAATATTTTGATGCATTTGTATAACTAAGGGGGGGGGTGAAATAACACAAACGGCAATAACGCCGTTTCCCAATTGAATGTGAAATAGCACAACTTTGCTGTATTTCATTTCTCGTTGAACAATAAGACCAACTTTTAAACTGAACAATTTGAGTAATAAAGCAAAATATGTAGGCTGTCACCCAGTTACATTTGACAAAAAGTAGTACATCAACAAATTAAATGGACGGATTTGTAATTATACAATTTTAAAACTACCCAGCGTCGCAGCGGTCCGCGTCCGCGCGCCGCCCTGCGCCACCCGCGCCGCGCCGCGTTCGACGTCGCGCTCGCGTCCCCCGTCCCCCTCCCCTCCTTTCGCAATTAAGCACTGCTGACATTATGACCGTTTAGAAAAAATAAAAATAATAAAATGACACTGTCCAAGTAATGGGAATTATAGCGTATGGTATTATTGCATGCACCCCACCCATGGTGGAATTATACCCGGTGAAGTAATATTAGAGTGAGAAGAGATATTTTTTGACACTGCCTTATTTGAAAACATGCCTATAAAATGTGACTATAAGGTAGCCGAATTTCAGACAAAAAAGCGAGAAAGCTGTTTTATTACTTCACCTGTTTATTGCGCCATTCATTCCACCAGATTGTACCGAGTATACGTTCAAATTTAGAAGTCTGAGTGTAGGTAAATTTTTACATATTTTTACATCACTATTTCGTACCACATGTTCGCTTCTTCTTCGTAAACGAAATCAACATTTCGGATATTTTGCAGTTATGATAATGCAGAAATTTTAACTGAAGATAAAACTGAAAACAATATTCTCTGTGTTATATGCTGCGAACAGGAACGGCAACTTTTGTTTGTTCTTTGCCTTGGCGGAATTATACCAGGTGAAGTAATTAGAGCGAGAAGAAAGATTTTGACACTGTCTTATTTGAAAAATTGCCTTTAAAATTTGACTATAAGGCAGCCGAATGACAGAAAATAAAGCGAGAAAGCTGTTTTATAACTTCACCTGTTTATTGCGCCATGGTACCATGCAAACATTTTAAGGTTTTCCAGCAATGTTTTCAACACATTTAAAAAAGCATGCAGATGAAATTCATGCAAAAGCGCTATGTGCAATTTGCTGAGCAGTTATTAAAGAGTCGTCTTTTTTTCCTATATTTTGTTAGACTTTTCATAAGTAAAAATATTTTGTGAATATTACTTTCTTCATATGAATTATATCACATTTTTTGTTTAATTGTATTCTTGGAATAAACAAAGTCCGTTTTCCTTCTGGTCAGTAAACTGTTTTTTTTTTGTACAAATGGTATGAATAAGCAATAGGAAATAAGGCAAAATTTGTTTTATTTCCAACCTTTGTTGGATATAAAGCAAAACTCAGATTTTGGTATTATTTCCCACTTAAAAGTGGAATATAGCAAATTTTGCGTTATTGTCGTTAGTGTTATTTTACCCTCCGCCACCCCCGCATAACTTGCATCAAATGAAGTGAAGAAAAGACAAATTCGAAAATAGTTTAGTGGGATTTTTTTTTATGTAGGCTTTTATGGCGTTACCGAAGAGCGAGAAAAGTTAGTTGTTACTCCCACAAATAATTTTTGTTATTAGATAATGATAATTTGTTAAAATCCTAATCAACATTAATTACAAGTTAAACACCACTTCTATCATTATAATAATTATCCTCATCATTATCTTCATTACTACTTTCATCATCAACATCACCCACATCATCACTTTTTTAGGTAATTTTTTATATGATGATGAATATGAATTGTACAAATTTTCTCCTCAACAATTATCTACATGTTTTTGTTAAGCCTAGAAAGTAACTTAGAATATATGTATAACCCTTAATAACAATAATCATGATATTCCATTGCGTCATTGCCATCACTATCAACATCTTCATCATCGCTATAAGGCTGCATAATTAACAAATGTTGTGCTTCTTTCGGCAAATCCTGCAAATTTTTTTCGGGTAGTTTTCTAATACTTGATACAACAGGGTCGGAACTAATCAAAAGTCTATTGAATATATCTTCATTCGTCTTTTTTCTGTTGCACTTGCGAGAAAAATGTTCTCTGTAGCTCTTAAAATCTTTGTTTCGCGCCTGTAGGGTTTTTTCTGACAATTGACGTTTATTTTGTTTTGAACACGGAAAACCTATAGAGGACTCAAGCCAACTTTTGTTTGCTTTAAAAAACGTTCTTCGTGTCTACAGGACCTATTCGAACGAATTTTGACCCCAGAAATGAAATATCTAATATTTCATTAAATTCTTTTAAATTTTCATCAGATGGCATGATGCGATCTTTCATTTGTCCCGTTAAAACGATAAATTTATCATTGAATTGATCGCATCCAGAGTTTTTCATTATTTCATAAAGGCTTTGACTAGTA